CCCCCCCACGTGGAGTAGATAGATCTTGGCTGTTTTGAGCGCCTGTTTCGAGCAGGTGGAGCCTCCCCCACAGGATGCACTGTGAGCAGAGGTCCAGAGCCAGACCCCCCCCCTCCCCTCTCTTCCGCCCAGTGCCGAATCGCCGAACAAGAAAACGCTCACTTGCGTATCTTCGGGTCGCCTGCCCGTTTTCGTCACTCTTGCGCTGGCTCGGCGTAGTGGCCTCTGCCCTTTCCGCTCGACCTTATCACGCCGCGCGGGTGCCCGCTCGCGGTCGCGATCAAAAAATATCTTGGGGTCTGTGCCGCGAAGGCGTGTCGTGTCAACTCGTCTTCGCCCGAGACGGCGGGGGCGAGCCGAGAAGCCGGCCGGGCCCGCCCTGCCCAGCGCGCGCCGGCGTGGCGCTGGCGGGGGGCCGGCGGGCAGAGCGACCCGCGGCCTCGCAGCGGGCCCGCAGAGGACGCATGAAGTTGATGTCCCGGATGTCCCGGACCCAGACATGATACGATCGCGTCGTAAAAAGATCAGGACGGCAGGGTTTTCGTTACTTCTGGCCCCCGGGAGCCCTCGCCTGGCCCGGGGGCCGTCAAAAAAACGACTCACGATGCAAAGCCGGCCCCGGGGAAAGGTTCTGGACTTCTGGGGACGCCGTGTTGAAAAAGTCGGGACGTCGCATGTCTGGGGAATGTTCCTGGTGCGCAGGCCTGGTGGGAATGCACACGTGTGCAGTGGGCGCTGACCAACGCCCAGGCGGCGATGGCCCGCGGCTTTGACTGCAATGGTGATATCCAGCGAGCCCAACCCTTCCGTCGGCCACCAGGCAAGCGCCGTGAACATGGCCGTCACGCAGATTAAGCTTTCCTGCACATCGTGCAGGAAGGGGAGCCCGGTAGCCTTCCGTACCCTTGCGGTTCATTCGTTCGCGCGCGAGCAGGGTAATGAGACCATTTTGCCCGTCCAGCGTCTGATCGAGGTTGAAGGTGATGACCGGTCCGGGTTCCGCCGTGGTTTCGCCTATGGGGGCCGCGGCATTCAGAGGTACGCCCTTGCAGGGTCCCAGAAGGCGAAACAGCACATCGCTGAGTCCATTGCCGTCCTGGCCAAATTCGGCATCATGAGCATCACCACGAGGCCTGAGAACTGGTGGTACGGGGCCGACCCGGGCACAGGCGACCTCAGGGCAATCCTCGTGGACATGGGCAACTGCCACCTCGCCCCAGCAAGCGCCAGGAGGGGCAGGGCGATTCGGGAGAGCATCCGCCAACGGCAGTGAGCGGAGGGGCTGCCTTTGCGTAGCCAACGCATTTACTCAAACGAGAAAACCACCAAGACCCCGACAACTGGCGTTTATTAGCGGTTCTGGGAGTTCACTAAACATCCCTGCCTTGTTGGACTCCTTCGTTGGGTGCGTGTACTAAACGGCTTCGCTTGTCGGGATGACTATGATGGGGGTGGACAGTCTGCCCTTTATGTATGTCCTTTTCCTGCTGCGCGCTGTGCCTGCCCCCCCTCCCCCCCAAGCGCATCACAGTCTGTGTGTTCGTCGGGAAGCAAGCCTGGGTGATTTTCACTCGCCCTCACGCCTGCTCCCGTCTTCGCCGCCCGTCTCCTGCCTCCTCCTACGCGCCTCACTCCTCCCTCCCTCCCGCCCCTCCTCCCCGCCCCTTCCCTGGTCCCTCCCCCCCCCGCCGTCCCTCCCCCGCCCCTCCGGGGCACGGCACTGGCGAGGACCCCCTCTCGCTGCGCGCGGGCCTCCCCTCCCCGCCCTATCCCCCCCCCCTGCCGCCCGAGCGTCTGGGGAGCTCTCCACGGCAAGCCCTGCGGCCCGCTGAGGGAAGGCGCCCTGGCCGATCTCGAGGCCGAGGTGGGCAGGCGCGAGCGCCTCTCCCGCCCGGCGCTGGTGGCCGGCATCTTGGGCGAGCAGACCGCCGACGAGGCACGCCTCGTGCGGAATTGCGCCCAGCACGCGCGGACGCTGCCAGGAGCTGGAGCGGGCTGGGCGGAGTGGCGAGCTGCGCAGCATGGCCCGCGGCTCGGGCCAGGAGGCTCTGAGGGCCAGCGCCCGCGCGGTGTGCGCCTCGCGCGCCTTGTGGAGAGCGAGCGCCGACCCCCGCAGCCCTGGTCCTCGAGCAGGTGCAGCCCCACGCCCCTGGGACCTGGCTCGAGCGAGACCAGGTGTCGGTTGGCCGCGCCCTTGCGTTCGGGCAGGGCCTGGAGGCTGGCTGGAGGCTGGCCGAGCTCCCGGCGCGCGAGCAGGGGTTGGCAGCAGCAGCAGCAGGACGGAGCCGAGGTAAAGAACGCCGCGGGGTCGGAGCTCGAGGAGTCGTTCGCGGAGTCTGAGGGCGCGACCGCGGAGCTGCTGGCGCCCGTGCCGACGACGCCCGCGGTTCGGCGCGGCGGGTCGGAGGCAGGCGGCGTCGCCGACGGCGCGCCGTCGAACCCTGCTTCCACACGCGGCCCCACCGCCGACGCCGATGACGCGGAGGAGCCGCTTGTCGGGCATGGCGCGGCGACGAGCGACGACACGATGACCACAGCGTACTCGAACGAGTTCGCCTACCCGTCGGAGTTCGGCTTGGAATCCTGGGTTTTGGAGTTCCTCGACCGTTTCGACGGGGCACTTAAAACTTTTGAATGGCCGAGCGCATGAGCAGGAGGACGACGCTGACCGCTACAGCGTCGAACACTGGCCCTGCGGCGAAGGCCACGGGCACAAGGAGGCCGGGATCGCCTGCGCATCGGATGGGCTGCAGGAGCCCCTGGATCAGGCGGCGTTCGCCGAGCAGTGGCCGCAGGAGGCCGAGCGGACTGTCCAGGCCGTCTTCAATGGGGTGCTGAGGTTCATTCGGAAGCCTGCGGCCGACTACCACGCGGAGCTTGTGCGCGGGGTCTCAGCGCTTCGCCTCAGCTCGCAGGACCTCGATGCGATCGAGGCGCTCACGATGGAAGGTGAGGCGGAGATCATTACGAAGATGGAGCAAGCTGGTGAAATGGAAGACTCGCTTTTGGACCTTATGAGTCCCGACGAGGGCGAGGCAGTCGTGCTCCTCGACGCGCTGGGCGTGCCCGACGGCGCTGGCCGAGGCGCGCAAGAGTGCGACAAGGAGCGTGAGTCAGCGAAGCAGGAGCTGGTGCGCGCCATGGAGCCTCGGCGCCTGAGGTGGATCCGCCGACGGGTGGCAGCGACGTGGCTGGCTCGCCTGGCAGGGTGGTTCCACCCCCCCGAGGCCTGGTGCGCCCGAGACCAGCTCACCAGCTCCGATGCCGAGTCCACCGCGCGTTGCGAGCACGAGGACGAGGCCACGTCGGAGCCGTTGAACGTCGCGCGGGCGGCCAACGCGCGCGGCGACGGTGAGAACGCAGGCGGTGGACCCCAGGCCGAAGGCCAACGGTGGGCGCGGAGGTAATCGCCGCCTTGGGGGCTGGGGGTCCCGCCTGCGGGCTGCGCAAGCACTGTTTGCGCGGTAGTGAATTTATGCATGCACGGGTTTCGGCTTTCGAAGAGCTAAAAAAACCCGCCGCGCGAGTAGAGCGGTGAGGAAGTGTCCCCGTGCGGCCAGGCATGGGCCTCTGAAGGCAGGCCCCATGCTCGGAGCTTGCACAGCGCCGCAGGGGCGGCCCTGGCCAGCCCAGCTGGTGACCCGGTGCTGGGCACGGCGACCCCCTCCCATGTGTTTAAATGTTATGTCGGGGGTCAAGGCGCGGGGGTGGACCTATGGCAACATATACATATATATATATATACATGCTCATATGCAAACACATCTACATAATGATTTGCCACATCGTCATTATGATGCTTCCTCCCCCTTCATTGTCTCTTTTCTCCTCCTCGTCACCGCCCTCCTTTTCCGCCTCCAACTCTCCGTCCTCGTCATTTGTTTTTTTCTCTCCCCCCCGCTCCCCCATCCGAGCCCCCTCATTGCTCACCACGTCCTCCCCCCCTTCCTCTCCCCCCGTCCTCTCCTTCTCCGCCTCGTCCGTCCTCTCCTTTTTCCCCTGCCGCTTCAGCACAAGCTTCTCCTCCTTCCTTTCCCCCCGACCTTCCCTCCATTCCCCTCCCCTCCTCCCACCTGGCTTTCCTCCTCCCCCTCTCCTCCTCTCTCCTCCCCCTTCCCCCCTCGCCCCCCCCCTTCCTCGCCACCCCTGTCCCCCTCATCCTCCTGCTCCTCCTCTCCACTTTGTTTTTCACCCCATTATCCTCCTCCTTCTCCTCCTCCTCCTCCTCCTCCTCCTCCTCCCGCTCCCCCTGCTCCTCCTCCCTCCTCCTCCTCCTCCTCCTCCTCCTTTTCCTCCTCCTCCTCGTCTTTTTCTTCTTCCTCCTCCTCCTCCTCCTCCTCCTCCTCCTCCTCCTCCTCCTCCTCCTCCTCCCTCCCCCTCCTGCTCCACATCCTGCTCCTTTTCTTCTCCTCCGCCTCCTCCTCGCCTCGCCTTCCTCCCCCCTTTTCCTTGTACTTTTCCTCCTTTTTCTTTTTCTCTTCGTCCTCCTCCTCCTTCTCCTTTCTCTCCTCTTCCTCCTTTCTCTCCTCCCCCTCCTCCTCCTCCTCCTCTCTTCTCCTCCTCCTCTTCCTCCTCCTCCTCCTCCTCCTCCCTCTTCCTCCTCCTCCTTTTCCCCTCCTTCCCCTCCTCCTCCTCTCCCTCTTCCTCTCCTCCTCCTCCCCTCCTCCTCCTCCTCCTCCTCCTCCTCTCCTCCTCCTCCTCTCCTCCTCCTCCTCCTCCTCCTCCTCCTCTTCCTCCTCCTCCTCCTCCTCCTCCTCCTCATTCTCCTCCTCCTCGTCCTCCTTGCCCCCCTCCGTTTTCTTCTCCTCCTCATCCTCTCCTCCTCTTCCCGCCTTTTCCTCCTTCTCCTCCTCTTTCTCATTGTCATCCTCACCCGATCCTCCTCCTCCTCCTCCTCCTCCTCCTCCCCCTCCTCCTGCTTCCCCTCCTCCTCCTTCTCCTCCTTCTTCTCCCTTCCCTCCTCCCCCTCCCCATCCCCCCTTCCCCCCTCCCCCCACCGCATGGCGGCCCTGGCCCTCCTGCTCTCGCTGCTGGCGCTGCCGGCGGCGGCCGACAAGCGCGCCGCGGCGGGGCCCTTCTGGCTGCTGGCCCCTGCCGGCGTGGCCTGCAGCGACGCCGCAGCGCCCTCCGCGGGTCGAGTCGGTGGCCCCATGCGAACCCCACCCCACCACCCCACGATTTCTAAGTTATAAAGGGGGGAGGTGGGGGTCACTTCGTTCGGGACCTCCCGAGCGAAGCGAACCCCACCTCCCCCATTCGAAATCGTGGGGTGTTGGGGTCGGATGCGCATGTGGCCTCCTAGTCGCGGCCTCCCAGAAGGGGGTCGGAGCCGGTGGGGTCGGAGGATCGCGCCGCATCGCCGATGCATCGGCGATGCGGCTCGATGTGGGGCCCGACCTTCTCCACGACGGCCTCGCCGATGCATCGCCGACATCGCCGAGGCATCGGCGATGCGCGTCGACGACGCGGCGCGATCCTCCCGCCGCATTTGCTCCGATCCCATCTGTGAGGCCATTGGCGGGGGCACCGCTCCTTGTCGCGGACCTTTGCTCGGCGTGTCTCGCCGCCGGCCTTGGCCCACCTGCGCTTCGGCGCGGCGCGCGGACGGCTTCCCCTCGCCCGAGCGTCAGAGTCCCAGGCCTTTCCCCGGCCGTCTGCCCCGCGGAGCGCGGGGCGGCACGCCGTCCGCTTCCAGGGCCGCCGCCGCGACACGCCGAGCAAGAGGTCCCGACCGTGCGTCTGGGGAGGAAGCGGTAGGGGGCATCGTCAGAAACAGCATTTCGGGCTCCATATGTTTTGTTACTTTCGTGGGCTCTCGGCGGGCTTCCAGCCCCAGGACGCTCTTCGACAGTTGCGCCTCGCCGAGAGCGTGCCACGGGTTCCTGGATCACCCCGAATCGCCGCCAGAGAGCCGATCTACGAGGGGTCTGTCGCCGATATATCGGCGATGCATCGCCGATTCCAGCTCGACGTTTCCCCTGTCCCCCCGGAGCCTGTTCCCCTGAAGATGAAGAGGGAAAGATGAGGAGGGAACATGAGGAGGGAAAGGTGCAGCGAAGTCGCCGAGACAAGGACCACTCTGGATTCGGGATGGGCTCCAGTTTTCGGACCGCGTCTCAGATCCGGAATGTCGGGGAGCCTCTTCGTGGCTGATGCTCGCAGTGGCCAGGAAAGCCCATCCGCTCCCTGTTCAACGTGCTCTGGTGGTGACATGATGACTGTGCCGACCTGGACTTCAGAAGTCGCGATCTGTGCCGACCTGGACTTCAGACGTCGCGATTTATTCCGCAGGTTTCAGCCTCGTGGGGCCGTTTCTGGGCCCCGGGTCAATCATCGTTGGGCCCGGGGCGACAAGCTGTCCCCCGAACTGTGCGATGTGCGGGAGGAGCAGGTGTAGGGGGAGAAGGGGGGGAGGAGCAGGAGGAGGTGCAGGAGACATATCAGTGTATCAGCAAGAGCCGCGTGAGCAAACGCAAGATGCCGAGGAACGTTCCTCACCACTGCTGTCACACGTGGTCCTGGAGTTCCGCAGTTGCGTACTTCTGGCCACCTCTGCCGACTGCGGAGGAGGAGACGGGAGAGACGAGGGGGCTTGGCACATGAGCAAGTGGACGGGGAATAATCAAACGAAAACAATACCAGAACCGATAATTGGCGTTTACTCAACGGTCCTGGGCGTTTACTAAATAGCCCTGCCCTGTTCGATTGGGTGCGTTTACTAAACGGCCTCGCTTGTCGGGGTGTTTGTTCTGGGAGGGGATTTTTTGCCCTCTAAAGAAGGACGTGCACCAGTGAAAGGGCGTGGGAGGAGGAGGACAAGCGTGCAAAGCGAGCCGTGGGGACGTCTGGATAAAAGGGACACGGCCGGAGAGGGAGGAGCGACGGCGAGGATCGCTCGCACACGAGAGCAAGGAGCACACCTGCTCCACACATAGGGCGTTCCAAAAAGGGCCTTGCCTTCGAGGATCGAAGGAGTTGTCATTTCTTCCGCGGCGGAAGGTCGACGGAAGTAAGACGAGGCTGTCTCCGCCAGCGGGAGCTGGCGGAAGGCTGGCTGAAGGCGGCGGAGGTAAAAAGTTGCCTTCCAAGAGATGAAACAGTTTTGTGTTCAGGGTTTCTGGAATCCGCCACATGTCGCCCCGGCTGCATGCAGTGGGGAATGGTCAGGTTGAGGGAGATGGGAGGATCAGGACTAGGGGGGTGTGCGTATCATGATTCAGTCCATGATGAAGTTCGACACTAAACAACCACAGCGTTTGTTTGCACCCGCTGTGTAAGATCGTTGTGCGCGCGCGGTCGGCAGGCACATTTCACCAGTGACGCACTGCGAACCTAAGCGTTGCAAATGTTCATTGTTATTGCGTTCCGTTGCACCGTGGCTCCAAGCGCCTTGTGGCTCGCGGTTTCATGGTGCCGTGGCGGCTCGTGGTTTCTCGGCTCTCTGGCCCATGACCTCAATGGCCGCGTGTCCCCGCGATGCCGCGGCTCGCGGCGCCGCGGCACATTTGCGACGGGGGAGATCGCGAAAACCTTGCGGTGCCAAATGGTGGCGCTCAATCCGCTCATTGGTCTCGAGTTCCGAGAGAACACCTGACGCTGACCATAAGATTCCCACATAATGCATGGCACGGACACGAGTTTGCCAGGAACACCTGGCCACGGCCATGAGTTCCGAGAGAACGCATGACACTGGCCATGAAACCCCTAGAAACCAAATGGTACGGACACCAGTTTGCCGGGAACACATAGCAACGACCATGGGTTCCGACAGAACACATGGCACTGGCCATGCAATTCCCAGAATGCACATGGCACGGACACGAGCTTGCCGGGAACACCTGGCACTGGTCAGGAGTTCCGCAAGAACACATGCCAAGGATCCAGAAATCCCCTTTGCGCCCCAGAGTCGCAATCAAACACAATATCAAAATCCCTATGGGATTCGCGTGGGCATGAGTTCTGCGAAGACACCTGGCCAGGTTACGCGGTTCACCGACGCACGTGCGCACTTTTCAGAATCCCCCGTGCCCCGCCCCCATCCCGCCTTCCCCTCCTGCCCCCCCCCCCTCCTGTCGCTCCACCCCCCATCACTAGCTGCTCTTTCGTTCCCGTGGCCCCTGGGGCGCTTCGTGGCCCATGGCTTGCGGCCCGTTGCTCATGGCCCGTGGCCCGCGGCCCATGGACTGTTGCCCGTGCCCCGTTGCCCAATGGCCGTGGCCCCTGGCCCGTGCGCTGTCGCCAGTGCCTGGGCCGTTGAGTCCAGTAGGTGCCCCACGGCAGGTACCTGGTAACGCGCATCGTCATGGCTACGAAATGCTCGGAATCTGAGGGCCGGGTGGATGCGAAGACACGATTAGGTCGGGTGGATGACTCGTCCAGGAACGCCTCGTTGATCGACCTAGGCGCGCGTTTTTTGAATTCAGTTCGTAGCGGCTGGCCCTTGGTTGTGTTGCGATTGGCGTGCATTCGCGTCGCTTTCGACTGGGCCGCAATCTGGCTGGCTGGCTGGCTTTGGTTCCGGACCGATGACTCTGGCGGTCAGCGGGCTGCTATGATATCCGATTGCGTTCGCGCGTGCGTAGCCCTTCGGGCTGTGCGCAGCACTTGCCTCGAACCGTAATACCTCCCCCCCTCTTCGTCACCCCCCTCTTTGCCGCTCCCGAGAGGATGAGCCAATCGAGGGGGCGCAATCATGCGTAGGGAGCGTGGACTATCAGTGGGCCAAATTTGTCATGAAACCATCAACCTTCACACGCTCCGTCGCCAAAGCAGGCGGCACTTTTCAGGGTTTCCAGTCGTTCTATCCCCGATGCGTGGATCTGGAGCCCACGCGCCAGATCCGCAGATCCATAATCCGTTTCAGCGTGTGCTCGACAAGAGCGTGCGGTGCTCGGAATTCTGCTGGCTGGCAAAGTTCTGAAAGCTTTCAAGTTGCATCTGTAAGGAATCGTGAGTTTTCCCGAGGGCCGGGGCGATGGGACGGGGGGAGGGGGAGTGGCAAAGGAAGGAGACGGAGAAGGGTAATAAGGAGGAGGGCCACAATGGCCGAACATTACGGTCAGGACCATGCCACAGAATGCCGATGGAGTGGGGATCAGGGAGGAACGGAGAGGGAGAGTGTCGAGCTCGACTGCGCACAGCGTGCAATAAGGCGATGGCGCGGTATGGCACCAGCGGCACAGCACGGCACAGGGCAGCACAGCACAGTACGGCGCACGGCAATTTGGTTGCGGAATGCACCTTGGTTTGGCACATTTTGTGAAGCTCACACTTGCCCAATCCTTTGGTTTCTGCACAGGCGGATGATACAACTGCGGCCGACGCGCGTCATGCGTGCCTTAGTTGTGGCATGACAGCATGGCATACTCTTCTTCTTGGGCAGGCCTGCTTCAGCGTGTCGTGGGCAAGTGGCCAGGCTCCTCAGGTGAGTTTCCACCCGCCTGTTTACCTCCACGACGCGCGTGCACTCCCAGCGCGGAGTCGCACCTCGCAGCCCTGACGCTCTCGCCCCGGGCCGCAGTTCTGGGTGGGCCCCGAGGCTGCCAAGAGGACAACCTTGGTTGAGGAGCAGGCCATGCAGGAGGGGGCCCTGGGTAAATCTAAGTCGGGCTTGTCTCTCTACAGGGGGAATATTCAAAAATAGCCAAAAACATATTATAGGGACGATGTTTCGACCATTTTTGCTTATGTTTGGATATTTGTTTGCCAATTTTCAGGTTTTCGCCCCAAATACGCCTGCAGGAGGACATGCCCGACCTAGGGGTAAATCGTTCCAGAGCGTTCTGTCACGCTCTCAGAGCGTTCCCGAGCTCTCTGGAACGGCCCTGGCGCCCGGTACATCCTCCAGAGCCGCCGGATCCCGATGATCCCAGAAGAGTCATCCTGCACTTCGAATTGGTCACACGGTCCTGGCTTCGTCCTACGTGGAGGAGCGCAGGGGTCGAGGGCTCTCGGCTCAGACCCCCGACGCCATGATTTGATCACAACGTCGACCCCCAGCGATCTCGACCCGTTCCCCAGGACCGATCTTTCATCCTGAGCCGTTTTCGGACGGCCACCAGAAGGAGAAAATAGCAGAACACCGTCCTTTTGCATTTTGCCGCGATGCCAAGGGCGCCCTCGAGGGCGCGAAGCGCTTCGCGCTTCGCGGTTCGGCTCCGATTCCTCCTCTTCCTCCTCTTCTCCCCATGGGAGGCGGCGCGAGAGCGCGAAGTTATTCGCACTTCGCGCTCCGCGCAGCGCGAAGCGCGAAGTGGGGAGCCCTTGAATGCGAGGGGGTCCGGGGGGCTTCGTGCCGCGAGAGGCGCTTCGCTTGGCCACCGGCCCAGCCCCCGCCCTCCCCCGCGCGCCGCAGCGGAGAGGCCTGCGCCCCGAACGGCGGCTGCAGCGCCTCAGGCCAGCGCGCCTCTTTCGCGGCCCTCCGTCTCGGAGGGCACCAACTATACTTAAGTCGGGCCTGTCCCTTTACAGGGGGAAAATTCAAAAGTAGGATAAAAATTGACAATTTTGGAATATTTATTGGGTATTTCTCATTTTGCGTCGAAAATCCCCCTGTAGGGGGACACGCCCGACTTGAAACTATACACCATCGGTCGTTGAAAGTAAGTGCGTATTGTTGGATGTCCGGAGCCCCATCTTTCTCGTGCGCCTTCATACAGTTCAAAGGTCGAGTGCTCGCCCCTCTTCCTTCGTCATCGGGGAGCGGGCGGAGATCCAAACTACTTCCACCGCTTTCCTGCTTCGTGTCTCTACCCACTTCTTCCGACCGGTGGATAGGTGCATCTACATCGATCCAGATTCAGGCCGGATCGGTGCACACTGTCAGGAACGTCTGCTCAGCGCGTCGCTCCCCGCCGATTCCGGCCCACCGCGCTCCTGCGCGACACGCTCTATGTAGTTTGCCGCTCCCCCACCGAGCGTCCACGTCCCGAGCCTTCCCCAGCCTCCCGCCCCAAAGGAGCGGAGCGACACGCTGGCCGCTTGCGGGGCCTATCATCTCGCCAGGGCCGCCGTGGCATGCTGAGGCAAGGCCGCTCCCGGGCCCGGCATCGCTGAACATGCCCTCCTGCCCACGCCAGGAGGGCGTGTGCACCGACCTCGGGCCCAGGATGAGTCGCTGAGCGCAAAGCGCCTGCTCGCAGAGCGCCTGCTCGCACACGTCCGAAAAGCACATGTCTGCTCCGAGGTCATGTATCGTAGATCCCCCGCGGCGGATCCAGGCCGTTTGCGAGTACTTACGCTGCGTGTAGTGGCACGCGCTCGTCTAATGAGCCTGCCCTGGATCGGTGCAGGTGTTGAGCTGCTGTCCTCCTATCCCTCTCATGTCGCCCTGAAGGACACCAGCTCCCTAGGAAAACGGGCCCCAATAAATTCCAGAAGTTTCAGAAATTCCCGGGGATACCCAGAAATTCCAGAAAGTCCAGATATTCCTGAAATCCCAGGAAAACGGGCCTCAGATGGTTCCGCATGTTTTGGGCGCTCCAGGGGTCCCTGACGGGCCTCGGGGCTTGCCGAGAGCGGCGGACGAAGAGGTGGCCTGGCCGAGAATTCCGACGTTGTGACTTTTGCACGGCGTCGACCTCCAGAGATCTCGACGTTGGCTTAAGCGTTACAGCTGTGCTCAGGATACCTCGACATCTTAAACACAAACACAAAACTCAACACTTGAATTCAAGACTACCTCTCCATGGGGCAATCCGTTGCAAGCGACGCTTCTTTCGCGATAGCCCTGTTGGCCGCGATCCTCCCTTCCCCAGCTTTCTCATCGTGAGGGCTCCCGAGGTCGGAAATGGCTCCCAAAAAACCGTCGCGATGTTTCCACGACTTGAAGAGGTGGGCTCGGTAGCAAACCATTGGAGCCTGGGCACCCTCTTGATTCTGTCTTTAGCGTCGACTTGCGCCGGTTAGCGATGAGATAGCGCCGATCTGGCGCCGGTTAGCATCGGTATCAGCGTCGATGTAACGTCGATGAGCGCCTATTTAGCGTCGACTCGCGTCGATCCGCAAGAGCCGACAAGGCGGCATGGGAGGCTCCCATGAGTTGCCACCGAAGGTGGGGGGTGGGAGGGAGGCCCCTCGGGCTCGAGACCCCGCGTCTGCCTCGTGCCAGCCGTGTCGCCTCTCCTGTCCTCCGCGGCTGCGCGGATGCGCTCCTCGCCGCCTCCTCCCTGTGGTCCCTTCTCCACCGTCTCCTCCTCATCGTCCTCCCCCTCCCCCTCCTCCTCCTCCTCCTCCTCCTCCTCCTCCTCCTCCTCCTCCTCCTCCTCCTCCTCCCCCTCCTCCTCCTCCTCCTCCTCCTCTCCTCCTCCGCCCCCTCCTCCTCGTACTCCTCCTCCTCCTCCTCCTCCTCTCCTCCTCCTCCTCCTCCTCCTCCTCCTGCTCCTGCTCCTCCTCCTCCTCCTCTCCTCCTCCTCCTCCTCCTCCTCCTCCTCCTCCTCTCCTCCTCCTCCTCCCCCCTCCCCCTCCTCCTCCTCGTCCTCCTCCTCCTCCTCCCCCTCCTTCTCATCCTTCTCGTCCTCCTCCTCCTGATCCTCCTCCTGCTCCTGCTCCCTCCCCGATCCTCCCCGTCCTTCTCTCCTCCCCGTCCCCCTCCTCCTCCTCCTCCTCCTCCTACTTCTCATCCCCCTCCTCCTCCTCGTCCTCCCCCTCCTCCACTTCATCCTCCTCATCCTCCTCGTCGGCCTCCTCCTCCCCCTCCTCCTCCTCTTCCCTCGACAGCGCGCACGAGGTGGAAGAGAAGGGGGGAGGACGGGCGCGAGGGGAGGGGCGGCCATCTGAGAAGGCAGAGTGGGGTGTTCCGAGCAGGCAGGGGCATCCCTTAAGGAGGGGCCTTCCTGAGGAGGCCCCTGCCTTCCAGTCTTCACGGGAATCTCTGTTTCTCCGCCGATGGCCCTGCGGACGCACAGAAGCCCTGGGACAGCCCAGGAACTTTCGAGACCGGCGACGGATGTATCCATCCCCAGGTGTCCTATTGCGAGACTTCGCGTTTGCAGTTTGTCTGAGCTCTCCCCTCCGCCTCTTCCTCCTCTTTCCCTCCACCTCATCCTTCTTCTCCTCTCCCTCTTCCTTCCCTCCGCCTCCTGACCTCCTCCTCCTCACCTCCGCTCCTCGTCCCCTCAACAATTACTCAATATGAATATACTCTCCCTCTTCCCCTGATGGCGTCCGGGTGATAGCCGCGCACCCTCCGCGTACTGTTTTTTTACACACAGGATGCCCGGGAAATCCCGGGAAACGACTCTCGCTGAGGCGTCGGCGTCATTTTTTCCCAAAATGCTGCTCTCGCGCCGGCGTCATTTTTTCCCAAAATGCTGCTCTCGTTGAGGCGCCGGCCTCATTTCTGCTCCCGAATCCTTCCCCTGATGGCGTCCGGGTGATAGCCGCGCATCCTCCGCGTACTGTTTTCTTACACACACAGGATGCCCGGGAAATCCCGGGAAACGACTCTCGCTGAGGCGCCGGCGTCATTTTTTCCCAAAATGCTGCTCTCGTTGAGGCGCCTGCCTCATTTCTGCTCCCGAATCGTTCCGAATCGTGCTCCCGCTGCAGCGTGGGCCTCATTTTCGGATCGGTGTTTGGCCTCCGTCGTTCAGGATGGCGTCCTCGCCCCAGCGCGGGCCTTTTCTCGCGCGCCCATCCGCCCGCCACCACCGCGCCGCACCGCCACCACCACCACCACCACCACCACCACCACCACCACCACCACCACCAACACCACCACCACCACCACACACCACCACCAACCACCACCAGCACCAGCACCAGTACCAAACACCACCACCACCACCACCACCAGCACCACCACCACCACCATCACCAGCCACCACCACACCACCACCACCACCACCCACCACCACCACGACAACCACGCACACACGCACGCACGCACGCACGTGCACCACCACCCACTACGCACGCGCGCGCGGAGCCACAGGTCCGCTACGACACGCGTCCGCGGATAGAGAAAATCAGCGCCATGGTAAGGGATGGGAGGGAGGGGTAGGACGTCAGATATGACGCGAGCGCACCTAGCTTGCCCCCTCCTCCTCCTCCTCCTCCTCCTCCTCCTCCTCCTCCTCCTCCTCCTCCTCCTCCTCCTCCTCCTCCTCCTCCCCTCGCCTACTTCGCCCGCCTGCAGGGGAGCCCGAGCCCTCTGCTTCGATTGGGCACGTACTTCTCACGCGGCGAATGCGCCTGGGGCCCCAACTTCTTGCAGCGAGGCCCTTGCCTGCGTGCTGGGGCTCGCCAAGCGCGCCGACAGAGTGCCGTGCCCGTGTGCCGTGCCGTGTTCTGCCTGTGCTCCGGAGCGCGCCCAACAACGCGTCGCCCACGTGCCGTGCCCACAGCGTGCCCGTGCGCCCCTTCCGCCCCCGCCCCCGGACCCCCCGAGAGGGGAGGGGACAGGAGGGGCAAGCTGAAGTCGGACCTGTCCCTCGACAAGAGGAATATTCAAAATTAGCTCAACAAACTAAACTCTGGGGGCGATTTTTGGATCTTGTTGGAATTATTGAATTTCTTGCGATATTTAAAATATTTCGCCCACAATCCGCCCGTAGGGGGACATGCCCGACCTAAGGGTAAACCTTTCCAGAAAAGGGGAAGAAGGAGGATTGGAATCTAGGCCTCCTAGATGGGGTCCGACTAGATGGGGTCGGAGGATCTCGCCGTATCGCCGATGCATCGGCGATGCGGCTCGATGCGGAGCCCGATTGGCCTCAATTCGACATCGCCGATGCATCGCCGACGTCGACGATGCATCGCTGGTGCATCGCTGGTGCATCGCCGATGCATCAACGATGCATCGCCGATGTATCGGCGATGCGGCGCGATCCTCCGACCCTATCTACTCCGACCCCATCTACGAGGCCTCTATGGAAGAGGGAAGTGGGAATCCCTCATACCACCTACGCCCAGAGGGCTGGTGGGATTCATGTGTTAGTAACCAGGCTGGGCATCCGCATTCACGCTCGTGCTTGCATGGTCTTGTTGGTTGCTTTCGCAGCGCAGCGGAATGTCAAACCAACGGTTTGTGCACAGGCCTTTTTATCAAGACATGGGCCGCAACTCGCCACACTCATCACATCAGTGTTGAATTAGTGCCAACATAAATGTGAAGCTCAGTCAGATGCCAGTGACATGCTTTGTTACGCAGGCTGCGCTCCTGGTTGCGCCGTGATTGCATTGTGTGCTTGTGCAGCATCTTCGAGAGCCAAACTGAACGCCAAGGCGCTGTGCTTCAATCCCCTCAGTCTTGACAGCTCTGCAGAGGTGGCGCTCCGAGATGTCCAGCCGAGCGCCACGGCGCTGCGCACCCGTCCCTTTAGTCGGAGCATCTCTGCTTATGCGACGCCTCAATTGTCCGCCGCCGCCCCCAGCGATGCGACTCATATGCCCCAGCCAGCTAGCAAGCCGGCTTCACCTCCCAAATGTGGAACATGCGGAGCTGAACAGTTTGGAAGGTCATTATGGTGGTTTGGTGTGCCAACTGGGCCTGGGGCGAAACCGCAAGACGTAAGAGTGTGGGAGTTGCGGGAGTGGTCTTCTTGGGCCCTCGAGCATTAGCCAGAATATATGGAGGCGCGGGCTTCCTGCAACTGGGGTTCGACTGGCGCTGTGGAAGATCGTAATGAGAGGTCTACCACGAGCTGCGCAAGAAAACAGCTGAGATCCCAAAACAAGAAACTCAACATAGTGGTGGTGATCGTGTCCTGGGATGACCGTTCATGCGTGCATATTGCCTCACACAAATGGTGCATTCGGAACTTCGACACACATGCACGCGTACACAACTCGCGCGCCTTCGATGGGTCACGCACCACAGCTACCACCACCGCGGCTACAAGCAATAGTGTTCAAACAGAAGACCAGTTCACAGTGGTGCCAGCTTCCCCTGCTGGAAGTGCGGCGATTGTTGAAATCGTAGATGCGGTGTACGGTGGGGAAGACGTGTTGTTTCCCATACCCACCTTGCGCACACATTATGCCAGCTGGTATCAGCAGGGGTGCTTGCGATATTCTAAGCAGCGTGCGAATGGTGGGATGTAGGAAGCGTGTGGGCCAGCGGTGTCAAACAATAGTTGTTCAGCATGCGGATGCTACACATTGCGTAAGAAACTCGCGGGTACCAACGCGTTAGGAAGCTCCAATATGGCACGAATGATCGACACAATGCCCTTAGGAGGCCCACAGCTGGCTCAATAAAGCCCAAAGCAGCTTGCACGATGCCTCAAGACGGGCTTAAGCACCACTGCGCGCTTCGTTGAGGAGAGAACCCCAATTCGAACTCGGGACGCTCTCTGTCCGAGTAGTCGCTGCAACATGTGAAGGCGAATGGGATAACCACAGTTGGAAAACCGCACGACCTCAATCTGCGTAATGAATTCACGTTCTACGCTGATGATTCGTGAGGAGATCTCTCAGGCGAAGCGCCGGGCACGCCTCACCCACAGGTCTGATGGTGCGCCGACGAGTAGTTACGGCGGAGGGACGAGAGAGAATGAGGGAGGAGGAAGAGGAGGAAGAGGAGGAAGATGGAGGAGGAGGAGGAGGAGGAGGAGGAGGAGGAGGAGGAGAGAGAAGGACAAAGAGGGAGGAGGGAGAGGAGGAAGGAGGGAGGAGGGTGCAGGAAGGGAGGAGTTGGAGGCGGCGGTGGACTACGGCATGTTCGTGCGGTGTCGACGCGGCGGCGACCCCAGCACGGGCGTTTCAAGGTTCGTCGCCGCCAGGCCGGCATCGGCCTAGATCGAAAGAATAGGTCTCCCGCGGGAGCGCGAATATCATCGCGCTTCGCTCGTCGCGGTCTTGGTCGCAGGGTCTGCCCTTCTCCAGGGAGGTGGCGCGATGGCGCGAAGATAACCGTGGGGGGAGCGATGCGCGAAGTCGGGCGGCCCGGGAACGACTTGTGATTCGCGTGGTCCGCAAAGCCGGCGATCGTTTGAGGTTGCACGATCGACGCGGTGTCAGGAACCGGCGCAGAACTCGCCACGATGCAGTCTTGCCCGACGCATCGCTGTTTTTTGCCTACCGCAATTCAGCGCGACACGCTAAGCACGTCCCACGTCCCCAAGGGTCAGCGGCGCGAGCTTGTCCCAGCCTCCCGTCCAGCGAAGCAGAGCGACACGCCATCATACTGCGAGGCACAGCGCAGGCAGCCGACCCGACACGCTGCGCAAAAAGTCAGGACCTTGTCATGAAGAGGAATTGGTGTGCAACCGGGCCCGCAGGATGGCCGGCGACCGGCGATGAGTTCGGCCGGATCATGATATCTGGCGGCGCGGCGCTGGGGGATCTCTCCAACAACCAGAGCTTCAAGGAGGGCGGGGGCAGAGCCGTCGATATACAAACATATATATATATATATATACATATATATAGTCATGTATTTACATATATATATATATATATGTTTTGATCTATTTATATATACATACCGGCGGGGGGCGTCAACAAACGTCAAAGGGGGCCGAGAGACGTCCAAGAGGGCATGGCCCAAGAGCGCTCCAAGAGAGCCCAAGATCGCACAAGAGCGTTTCAAAATTGGTCCAACATGGCTTGAAGACAGCCCAAGAGGGCTTCAAGACGGCCAAGATGCCCTCAGAAGGACTCCCACGAGGCACTCGGGAGGCGAAACAAGTAGGTTGTGTCTATGGTTTTTTAAGGTTTTTCGTGTTCTCGCTGTTTCGTGCTTCCGACGGTCCAAGACAGCCCACGATGCCCCGGAAATCAGCTCAAGACGGCCCAAGTGGCACCCAAAGAGAGCGCCACGACGGCGCAGGAGAGTCCCAAGACGGCCCAAGAGTGCCCCAAGACGGCCCAAGATCGCCCAAGAGGGCTCCAAGACGGCCCCAAGAGAGGCCCCAGAGAGGGAACACGAACCGACAATTCGAGCCTTCCGCTCCAAGATGCCTCCAGGAGGGCCCCACGAGGCCCCAAAGGGGCCTGAAACGACGCCCCATGAGCACCCCAAATGGCCCCCAAGAGGCCTCCCAAACTGCCTTCAAGAGGCCCCCGGGAAACCACCCACGAACTCCAAACGAACTTCCAAGGGGCCTCTAACCCACAACCCAGGCACGGTTGCGGGAGAACCCGAGATCTTCGACCCAGGAGACACCTAGGAGGGGCCAAGAGGTCCCCAAGAAGCTTGGCGACAGATCACCGGTCGACCGGTCGATGAGAGCGGAGGAGGAGGAATGAGGAAGAGGCAGGAGGAAGCAGAGCATGTTGGCCTCATGATTCATGACCGCCTTGTTGTCTCAATGCGGTCAGTACTCGACCAGCTAGAACCTAAGCGCGCGCGACGCGCGCGCGATGGTTCTAGTATCTATACCTATAAACAGCGATAGAGAGAGAGAGAGAGAGAAGGAGAGAGAGAGAGAGAGACGGACACAGAGGATACTTGGGGAGGGGAGTGGGAGAGATAAGGCGGGGAGGGCGGGAGGCAAGGGCAAGGGTAGAGAGTGAAGAGATGGGCGAGAGGCACGGGGGCGGGGATGAGTCGGACTCGGAATGGAGGAGGGGTTGGGAGGAAAAAGGGGAAACGATAGGAGGACGAGCAGGAGCGCGAGGATAATGATGATGCGGAGGAGAAGGAGGAGGAGGAGGACGAGGAGGAGGAGGAGGAGGACGAGGAGGAGGAGGAACCCTTCCCGCTCCCTCTCCGCCTCCCCCCCTTGCTCTCTTCCTCCCCTGCTACCTCCTCCTTCTCCTCCTCCTCATCCTCCTCCTCCTCCTCCTCCTCGATTCTCTTCCTCAGCAGCATGACTTGTTCCGTGGCCATTTTGGTCCAAGCCCCTTCGGCTCAGAGGCGCCCCCCCCTCCCAAAAGAGGCGCGAGGGGCGGCCCCGGGAAGCGTGGAGCAGCCATGCCCCGCGTCCGCGACGGCCCACGGAAATAGTGCCCCAAGAAGCCCCCGCCCCAGCAGTGCACCGGAGGCGCAGAGGCCCCGGAGGTCCCCCGTTGTCAGGGGCAACGATAGTGGGGATGGGCACAGGGGGGGATGCCTCGACCCCCAATCGCCCATTGATCGCCGACAGGGGCCCGAAAGCCCCAACCTGCCAAGGAAGGTGCGGACTCACTATCAGAGGCCTATCGCCGATCTATCGGCGATGTATCGCCGCTTCCAGGTCCATGTATCCCCCCCTATGCCAGTCCCCCCCCCATCGTTGCCCCTCACTTTGGTCTCCGAGAGGCTCCCGGACCCCCGAGAGGTCTCCACGGGTCGGAGAGAAAAAACAGCTTGGCGGCGAGCAAGGGGGGGATGCGAGAAGGAGAAGGCCCTCCCAGAAGGCGGCGGGTTTTTTTCAGAAGCCCTCGTGTTTTTGATCAGTTCCCTGTGTCTTCGGGGAAGGCGTAGAACACTTCTCAGAAGGCTGGAGGACTTCCCAGCCTTCTGAGAAGGCCCGCCCCTTCTCACGTCCCCCCCCCCGGGCTCGCCGCCGAACAGCAGCGTGACCTACTTCCTCGGAGCTCTGCTCGGCGTTCCTGGATCGGCGTTGGGCGCCCCTGGCGGGGCCTCCCTGAGCCGATCCGAGAGGACCGCGCGGAGCTCCGCGTGGGCACGATGCTTACTCCGCAGAGCCTCAGCAGCCTGAGCTCGCGCCCCGGGGCGCCGCGCCGCCCCCGCGGCCCTCCCGGCGGCGGCCGCGAAGGCGAAGCCGAATGCGGGCGCTGCAGCCTGCAGCAGCCCGACGGGCTTCTGCAGCCAGCCGGCGAGCGCCTGCGCGGCCATGCCGCGCCGGATCCGTGCGCCTCCGCGGCCATGCCACGTCTTCTCCCCTCCCCCGCCCCCTCCTC